CGTTCGCGTATCTGCTTTTAAGGTCCTCTTTTATCATTTTATAGAATTTCACTTTTCCTCTTTGATAATGTTGTTGAAAACTGTGGCAATCAGTTGTAGGCTGCCCCGCATGCCACCTTACGCCGAATGTAAGCGTGAAAACGAATTTTTGAGGCGCAGACTGGCCACCTGGTTGCATTAATCGAGCTTATAAGCTGCCCTGTTATAAGCTTTCTTGACACATGAGCCATCTCGTTTACAGGTTGCTTCTGGTTAATGCTTGATCTTGTGCCCTCAATGCTGAGAATAGATCGTAGCGGACTTGATGCATTGTCTGGGAAAATGAGGTTGAAATTTGCCCTCATTTTTTCGCGCATAAAAAACCATATTGTGGGACTACTAGATACCGATATTGTGGGACCACTATCCATTTTTTTGCCCATTTCAAAGATTTTTCCAGACGTGAATGTCATAATATTTGATAAGTTGTAATAATGCTTTTACTTTTACATTAAAATAATAAAATTAATGCTGACAGTTCTTCATTTCTCGATTTGGGCTTCGTACCCTAGCAGCGAATTTCCAGGGAATGTTACTTTACAATATTTGATAAGTTGTAATAATGTTTTTATTTTTATATTAAAACAAAAAATTAGTGCTGACGACTTCGCATTTCTCCATTTGGGCTTCTCATATCCTGGTACTGGGCTTTTTGAGATAACGAGGGAGTGGGACGAGGACGGCGGCACAGCGATGCTGGAGAATCCCGTGGGTACGGTAGTATTTACACATAGGCTGGTAATTACTAGAACTCGTCGCAGCATATTTTAACCAGCATCAGAGCTGCGAAATAGGACCAAAGAATAGCAGTACAGGGGACGAATGTAAAAAAAAAAAAAGATTCCGGGGAGGAGGGCAACCAGTCCCATAGGACAACCAATCCCTTTGCGACTCCTTCATTCGTTTCGATGGTAAATTGGTACTGACAAATGGCAGGGAGCCAAATCCATTATCGTTTGCTTTTTATTATTGACTCAGAAGAGGTAGCCATCGATAACTTTGTCAGCAGAGAGTAGCTACTGATACGGGTTAATTCTCAGATTGCTCTGATCCTGACGGTGAACGGATACGGCAACGGGATTGTGTGGAATATATAGAGCCTGTTTGGTTGACCGAAAGCATGCAAAATAGCTTATGCTGGATTTTGGATTTGTATCTGCTCTTGTTGGATTTTGGATTTTTTTTTTTTTTTCTGGGGGAGGGATGAGGAGGGAGAAAATACTGTTGTAGTAGCTATTGCTAGATTTGTCACATACATTTTGTTCGTAACATACATTTCGTTAAGATTGGCTACTGGCATAGTAGTCAATCTTACGGCAGCAATGTAACGCTTTGTTTTTTAAGAAAATCCTCCCAATTTATTGAATATAACTGAATATAAATGTTGGAATTGGAAATAGAATTGAAATTCGAGTTATGGGATCAGGAAGTTAGGAAAAATTACTAAACAAAAAAAAAATTAATTTTTGAAAATATAAAAAAAATGTAGAAGACATAAACATGTAATAAAACTAAAAAATAACTCCTGAGATGTTAAAGCGCCAGTATTCCGTTGCAGAATCGCAATATTTCGGGGCAGAAGCCGTTCGTGTGAGTCAAAAGATGTATGTTGATGGCTTTTGAACGGTTTTTCAATAAGTACTGCTGCTAGTTAGGAATGCATTACTCCTCTGTGCTCCGATTCGCGCGACCAGTTTCCTATCTGAAGCAAAATGTTCAAAAATGTTTAAAGGTGAGTTATAAATTTCTCTTGAATTGATCAGCCTTTAAAAATATTGTTTTGAGATTACAGGCCTACACGTAGTGCACTGTGTTCTCCTTACTTGGAGGGCTTGGATCAGCTGTAATTTAATAGTTTGGTCTTTCAAGTATGCATTTGGCAGTTTGTCCAATTGCTTTGGCCAATGTTGCACCGTCTGATTTCCAGCTCACCGGTAAACTTGGAGTTAGTCCGGTTCATAAGTGGACGGCCAGTCGAATAGTTTTTTCGGCTAGACTTTAGCCCTTTTCGAGATATTCTCGGTGTACGATAAGCTTCACCCAGTTCGTCTCCAACAATGCTGCTTTTGAACCGCTTTTAGACATCTTATCCCTTGGGAGAATTTCCGTGTTTTTAAGAATATTTTTTTGCTAGTTTTTCCAAAAAATAAATTCCCTGACGAGGAAATTAAGAATTCACTGATTTTGAGAGAATTTTTGCAAGAAGAGTGTACGGCGAAACACCATTGTTTTTTTCAGCAGGAAGTTCAGAAACTGAAAGTTTTGTATCGAATAATAGCCTTGGGAATGGTGGCATAAAACGAAGCAATAGATGGCCTCATTAGGTCATTTCTTCCTGTTAAGCTGATAATTTAGTCATGAGAAATTGGTCTGCAGTTAAGATATTAAAAAAAAAAAATTAATCACATAAGCAGAAGGAAAAAGAAACGACTGAAAATGCAACGGTAAAACTAAGAGGGAGCAAATAACAAGGAAGAGGAATAGAGAAGCGAACGAATAGATAGGTGAAAATCTGGTGTGTGGTAGAGCATTGAACTGTCTAATTTTTTGAAGATGATTCTTAAACAGTGTTGATTTTTGACCTATATTTGTATTTTTTTTTTTAAATTAACTGTTTTATGGATGAAAAATGAATCAATTCTGTCAAAAAATGATTATTTTTCTTCAGGTTGCCGTGATCGGCCCGCCAAATGTTGGCAAATCACTGCTAACAAACAGGCTTATAAAAGCAGGTGTTGCTGCAGTAAGCTGTCAAATGGATACTACGCAAAGAAACCAGACAGCCATCCTAACCGAAGGCACAACACAACTGGTACTTGTGGACAGTCCTGGGACTGTTGGCATTCGACATGCCAGAGAAGTTGTCAAGAATCCGGATTCCCGAATCTTAAGCGGTCTGTGTTTAATTCATAGAGATCCATTCTGGATTTGTCTCTTTGCTTTAGCATTTTATGTTAATTTTAGAAGTTTGCCCACCATCCTTTTCAGAATTTTTAAATTTTTTAGAAATTAGAAAATGTAAATGGGAATTACATCCTCATTCTCTGTTTGTATTAGCAAATTCCTAAATCGCCGCACACTATTTGTATACAAGGTTGTAAAATTCAAATCACAGAGGTCAGGGCTTCCTGAAACCTCATCCTTATATTTTCTCACTAATCACCTATGATCCGGGCCCTAAAACTCTAATTTTCTGACCGCTAATGTATTCCACTTTATTCATATATGATATAGTGACTCAGTGAGAAAAACGAGACGCAGCAATACTAGACGAAACGCAGCAATACTGTTCTTATCAGTGAATGCGGCAGTCCGTATTCTTTAAAAAAAAAAGGAATGACGGCCAGCTGAATAAAAAAGACATGGATGTAAATTGGAATGTGGATGTAAAATCTCCTGAGGCATGGACTGTCGAAGACAATTCTAGAAGTGAACTTGAAACGGCTTGATATTTTCTTGATTCTTTCATGCTACTAACTTCTGCTCCAGTCCCATCGTAGCGGCATCTCGAATATGACCTTTAAGCAGAAGACATTAATCCTTTATTATGCGTTGTATGCTGTGTAACAGCAGTCACGGGGTTGTCTGTGTGTGTGTTTGTGTGTGTGTCCCATATCTTGTCTCGCACTTTCAACTCGGGAACCACAAGAGCTAGGCGGCTGAAATTTTAGTCTAGTGTTCCCCGCCAAAGCTCGGTAAATGAAAGGAGGAAATCACAGCGCAGCTGGTTCACAAAACTTGTTAACACCACTGTGCTACGCATGTTTACTCGTCTTATTCTACTTGAATCCAACTGTATGAAGCTACGGCTTGATTGAATGTTTGATCAGAATGCAGAATTCCTATTCTCATTTTCGCATTAATTTTTCAGGTTTTCTTCCCTCTCTGTCCCTAGGTTTCTCCATTCTTTCTTTTTGCCTATTCGTCAAGTAGAGAAAAAGTGTGGTTATTGAATCTAGGTACCGCGTATGTTAGTAGGCCGAACTACCCTGGAAGGTGTCGGGCCAGACTAAAGTAGGACAAGTTTTGTCTGCATTATTTCATTTTTCCTTTTCTAAACTACCCAGCATGTCCCCGAATCACATAGCGAAATGGGGCACTGCACTGATGATTCCCACCCCGTTTCGCTACATTTTAGTCGTC